AAAACAAGACCCAGAAAGTAACAATAAACAAGGCAGAGTTTAGCTGGAAGTGCCTCCAGGGCATCCCAGGGATGAGCAAGGGATGATGTATAAAGATGTACATACTCGTATGTACATACATACATATGTACATGTATGTTTTGCATATTTTTGTGTGTTGTTTTGGAGCAACATGTGAGCAGATCCCTGAATCCACGCACCGCGAATACTAATGAGGGTTCTGCTTTAAAGGCGCGTCAAGTGTTTGGTCTTGAAGGAACGAGGCATGGGGGGAAGTAAATGAATGCATAAGCATGCCATAGAACAAAGTTTAAGTTGAACTGCAAATGGGAAATGGGAAATGGGAAAATGGCAAATGGCAAATGAATTCATAAATTATACAACAAGAAGCTGTACACATGAAAGATGCGAATAAAGGCAAAGGTGGGTAGCTGTACGGTTGCCCTGTTTTATGTTTTAGCCATAACTCAGCACAATTGGCCGGCACCAAGAGTCGAAGAAGGTTTCCTTGAAACGGAAAGGGAGCAAGTCCAGGGGGTCTATCAGTGTCCATCAACGGCATGGGAAGGAGACGCCCCCGCCTCGCACGTTGCCAGTGGAGACTGCATGCTAAGGGCTTCCGAGTCCACAAGTCCACGGCGGGGTCCAGGCCATATAATAAACCAACTCAATTAGGCGGCTGTTTCCACAGTCGAGGCCAGAAAAATAACATAAGGAATCTACTCCATCTAGAAAAGGGATGTGCCGACAGTGGAAATACCTCACTCAGGCCACTGGTACTATGGCTCCAATTATGTTAACGATGGAGATAATATGCCCTTCTTCTGCCACGCGGTATTAATATTTGCTAAAACGAGATTCGCATCCAAGCTATCGGCCATGATCTGGCTTGATGTTTGTATGGCTGCCGCGAGGCTTTGCGTCCGCATTCGGAGTCTGTCCCCAAAATAATTTTGGTGGGTGCGGCCCACAGAAAGTGAATATCAATAAAATCAACTAATTAAATTAAAAGGCAGCAGCAGCAGTGGGAATGGAATAGTCTTGAGCTCGGAGTTGGGAGTTCAATGGAGCGGACTCCACTTTTTTTGTTGGAACTCTCTTGGCGAGTGGGTATCGACTCCTGGTCGGGGCTGCACGAACCACTCTTGTTGCGGGCCCAGAGGCCGCCAGCAAAATATTGCGTAGACGCCGTAGACGTAATTACAGTGCCTAGCCGGCGATGGTGTCTTTGATTTTTAATTGCTCGCTCGCTCGCTTGCAACATGCTTGCCACACAACTCGCCAACGGAATCTCAACGTCAATTCATGCGTAATCTCTGCTTGAAGGAACTTTTTTTCTGTATTGTTTCCAGCCAACAAAATCATTTATTAAGAATGGAATTTAATTTAAATAAAACAAATTATAAAATATGTAAGCGCCCCCCCCGCCAGTTCCCGCCAGATCTCGTTAGCAAAACACATTAAATTCACATGAAATGAGGTCCATGGCATGGGGGGAATGTACAGTAACAATCGAGACATAATAAATGCGCAGATTGCACAACAAATTAACGCAAAAAGAAGGCGTAGCATGTCGAGAGGGCGTGTCGCCCCCTCTTGTCAAACGGTTTTGCAAGCTCTCAGAAAAATATGAAAATACGAAAAATTCAAGAATGGAAATTAAATGAACAGCAACAAAACGGCAACGGCCACGGACCGCTGCCACATACAAAAGCAGCTCTCAAATCTGGCCTAAAGATCTCAAATGCTGCTGCTGCTGTTGTTGTTGCTGGTTCAAGTGGTGGGGCGGCAGGAGGAGGTGTGGTCTGGGTCTGGTCCGCCTTTTGCTTATTGATTTTGTAATTGAAGGTTAAATTTGAATGCTCTCCAGCTCTCAGAGCCGTGAGAGCGCGAGTGTTCTTATATGTGGGTTTGCTCGTAATGGCAGGACGTTGCTCCAGTTTCGGGTGATTGGAGGGACGTAAACGTAGAGCGGAGAGCACGCCCTCGAGCAAGTTTGTTGCACTCCGCTCTTCAATGGCACAGCGCCATATGGCAGGCGGATAGGCAAGGGGCTCAAGTAGCGACAGGTTTGGCGTTAGGCTTGCGATTACCGCCGTTTAGTGTGAGGGAGACAGAGAGAGGCGTAATTCCTCAGAGAGACAGAGAAAGTAAAAGACAGAGGGGGAGCGAGCTTTTCAGGACTGGCGCGGTCCAAGAGAGCAGAGAGCAGAACAAAGAAGAGATCGCGAGAACGAGAGCGAAGAAGCGTCAGCAGAGGCCGGTCCGTGAGCTTTCTTCAAGTCGTTGTTGTTGTTGTTTTCGGTAACAGTTATATTGAAGCCGTTACAACGTATTAAAAAAATAATTCAATTGCACAAGCAAATATAAATATGTAATAGTTATACCGTCCATTACTAGATATTACCTTTACTGTCTCGATGGTTCTTGCAAGTGGAATATAGACACCCGTTACTGATGAGCTGTTGTGGCGGGGGGGTGGAGTGAGTTCACATAATTTCCCTCCCCTCTGAGACATGTACCCCGGTATTGATATCGATGCCGCGCGCTGACGTTGCGCTGTCAGGGCATGTCGGTCATTAATCTTCGCCGCTTGGCCATCCGTCCCTTCAATATCCCTGGAAAATACCACCAAAGGGGCAAAACAAGAGAGCGGGCAGCATGTGTGATAATGGTCGAGTGTGGCAGAGTATTTAGGCAAATGTCACCAGGACCGGACCCCCGCAAAAGAAAAGCCACAATGGGAATGTGGCAACAATGGCGCTGTGTATGGCAGTGGATGCCAGAGAAGGACAATGGATGGGCTGGAAACAAACGAAGAAAAGTGCAGGCACGGCGATTGCCCATCACTGGAAGATCCACTGGAAAAATTACTCTTTATGGAAGAGCAGAAGAGCAATGAGAGATCGATCTTTGCTGGTTTTAATTTGTACTGAAAATATATTTTCATATATTTCAAGGAAACATGTTAGATACAAATTATTTTATTCGACCCACAGGGAGCCCATTGTGTGGCTCCTCACGTTTCTCCTTGTTCTTTGCGCCTTTTGACCCACATAGATGCGAAAAGTTGCGCCTGACTGGACACTGGGACAGACTTGACACCCGCTGAGGAGCTGATAGTTATGGGTGCGCTGGACGGGTGGGTGTGGGGGGTGGCGACATCGAGATGGCAGACCACGGCTGGCTGCACTTTCGCATGGACATTGTTCTTCGGTGCTGTAATGTTTGTCCTGTACTGTATTGGCATTGCAATTATACAAATTAATGCCAGAGGCAAAAACGTTCGCAGATTGCCACGCTTGTCATTGTGTGTGTGGGTGTGTGTGGGTGGTGTGAGGGGAAGAAGAAGCGTAATTGAAATGTCGCACCATTACACAATGGAACCAACAGAAGCAGTTGCAGGGTGGGGAGAAAGAGAGAGCAGATGAAGGAGAACGTTGACAATGACAATCAATGAGTGGCGTTGCACTCTCCCTCACTCTCGCCTACTCTCTCCCACTCTTCCTCTCTCCAACTCAATCTTCCTCATTGCTGGCAATGCCAAAGCAAGTGGCGCCATCTTGAAGGTCGCTGACTGTACTCGTCCGTTTTTGGGACAGCAGCAGCAGCAACTTCTGGCTTCTGGCTTCTGGCTTCTGGGTGGAGGCTTCCTTTGGAGGTCGCAGAATGCAAGCATTTTCGCAGCATCGTCTTGGTTGCGAAATCTTTTTGTTTGCGTTTAGTTTTGATCCGCCGTGGGGCTGGCCCTCCACCGTCTCGCATCAGTCTCCGCCAGTCTAGACTCTAGACTGGCTCTGGCCATCCACCCAACAATGGATAATGGCTGCCACGCACACACATTGCATAACTTTGGCCCACTCTCGCAGCTCGCCGTTCGCCATTCGCCGTTCGCCTCTCGCCTCTGGCCTGTCTCTTTCCAGCGTCACGACAACGCACAAAGTGCGCATAAATTGCATGCGACCCACAAAAATTGTTCACCAGGCAACACAAACACAAGGCACAAAAAAATGGCATAGATCAGCGATCACAAATCAAAACACTCGCACACCGAATCGAGCTCCAGTTTGGTGACTTTCGAAAGCGAAACCAAAACCCCAGTGCCTGTTCCCAGCTCCTAGCACCTAGCTGCTAGGTTCAGCTCCAGCTTCGAGCTCTGGTCTGGCCTGGCCTGGCCTGGCTCTTACTTTGGCTCTTATCTGCAACTCCAACGCTGGCTGGCTGCCCAATTTCCGCGCCCATTTGGCGGCGGCTGCGTGAGAACCCAAAAACCAAAGACACAAAAAGAACAGCAAGACTAGAAGATACCCATTACAGCAGAGAGATAACTTGGGTGTTGAATCGCAGCCAGAACGAACAAAGGAGCCCCCACACATCACACACTCCATATGGGTACGTTGTGGTCCACGCGTAATTTTCAACACAAAAAGTTGCAACAAACTATGCCCGCAGGCTGGGCCAAAAAATGCAATGAGCTGGCAGACAGAAACCATTAATAAAGCACTTGACAAGAGCCGCGCAAGCGATACGAGGAATGGGAATGGTAATGGGAACAAGGCAAGTCATGGAGGCAGACTCCAAGCCAGACTCCCTCCATCCACACCAAGGCCCAGTCCTCCATCCATCCATCCAGGCAGTGACCATCCATGGGGTTAGAGCTCACCTTGTTCGTTGGCATTTCCTTTTGCCGCATTCGCCAAAAGAGACACAAACCACGCTCGAACAAATTTCCAATTAAACAATCGATGATGTGAAGTAATTTCGATTAAATCGAAAGGCGATCAGCTCTGCAGTGGGCAAGTCGTGGACTTAGTGCGTAGACTGGAGCCGCGCCTGTGATCCGTGCTGCCTGCTTTGCCAACTGCGAGGAAAACCCGTTCTCAGTGGCTGGCCATGCATTGCGGCATAATTCGCGAGCAGAGGGAGGTGGCTTTTCCATCACACAAAATCGGTATAAATAAGCCCAAAGAACGGCGAATCGAGACAGTTACCGAGACGCAGCCCAGACCGCAGTTGCAAACCAAAATCCTAAAACCAAAACCAAAACCAAACCGATTCAATCGTATTTTTTTGTAGCTCTAAACGCTTTAGTGAACGTTTCAACAAGCTCGAAAATGGCATTCAAGGTGCGTGTGGCATGTGTGTTGTGTGGTGGCAGTGTGGCACGTTTGTGGCAAGCCCCAGAAACGTCTGCGGTGACTTACAAAGAAGCCAAAGAGTTGCAATCACTGAACCAATCCTGAAGCAGTTTCTTATCCTTTGCTCGCCAGTTTCCGCGGAGTGGAGGTTCAAGGATTCCCAAAGAAAGCAGAAACCTCAAACGCTGAGTCCTAAAACGTTTTCCTTGAATGCTGCCAGGACAGGTTAACAAAGTCTGACTAGCGCGGCATGAAGCTGCACGTCCTGCACATCCTGCCATCTGCCATCTGGCATTTGCCATTCTCCATTGTTGCCTGCCAATTCCCTGGCTCCCCTGGTTGTCAGCTGCAATCCGCTTATAAGCGGATGTGCGAATGCTGGTCAGGGAGCGAGGCGCCATGGTCAGGATATATATAGAATATTCCCCGTGGTGCGGAGCTACTTTGTAATATTTTTCTTTGCTCACAAATAGCTTTACCTTTATGCAAAAGTTTTCAAAAATTAATGAATGGCGCTGGCAAACTCACAATAAATAACTTCAGTCTGCTGCCCACGCGGGCAACAAGTGAGGCAAAAGTTCTTGACAGGATTTGTATCTGGAATGCCCAGAGAGTACTCAATGCTGCTCCAATTGAAAATTGCTCTAATTCTAATTTGTCAATCGATGAATATTTATGCCACACACACTCGAGACGCTTTCGATAAAGTCCTGCGATACAGTCAGAGACAGTCTACCACATCCTTCTCTCCCCCTAAGTTCTACTTTACAAAACTTAATTAAAAGTTTACTCGTCTGCAATTTCCTGCAGTGCAGCGGCTGCTGCTGCTGCTGCTGCTGCTACCAAAATAAACACAAGACTGTGGCTCTCATGGCACTTTGCCTTATTTCAGGTTATTCTCTGTGTGGCAGCCATGGCGATCGCCTGCGCCCAGGCCAAGCCCGGCGGACCTGCCGCCTACTCGATTAGCGCCCCCAGCGTGGACCACGCCTCCGTGGGCAACACGCAGGAGCACACGGTGAAGGGCCACTACGGACAGTCGTCCCAGTCGGACTACGCCAGCCAGGTGCAGACAGCCCACTCCCAGTCGCATGTCCAGCGCTCGAGCATCAGCAACGATGCCGGCCTGGCCCCCGCGGCCCATTATGCAGGTGAGTTTGATCCTCCTCCTACTCTGGAAACTAACACAAAAAGACTTTAGCACAAAGCATCAAGCACTCAGCACTCAGCACTCAGCACTCGGCACCCACATGATCCACTCAATGCCCCCTTGCACGTAGTTAAATGTTAACACAAAACCGAATCTAGCTCCCGCGGCACATGCCATTGCCGCTCCTGCCTCGTACGCCCTTGGAGTGGGACACACGGGCCCTGCCCAGATCCAGGGACTGGCCTATGCCAGTCACGGCTATGCCGCCGCCCCAGCACCAGCACCAGCTCCAGCACCAGTCCTGGCCTACGGCGGTCACTATGGAGCTCAGTATGGCGGCGGTCATTACGCAGCCACGGCACCGGCCCTGCAGCTCTCCGGAGTGGGATTGGGACACTACGGACACATTGGACACCTTGGACACGTTGGTCTCGGCTATGGGTATGGCGGATATAGCTCTGGACCGGCACTGTCGCATGGCTATGCACAGGTGGCCGCCGCTCCAGCTCAAATTGTGAAGTATGCCGCCGCTCCAGCCTACGGTAGGTGCCAGCCCGGAGGTCTGCCTGCTAATCCTTTTTGATCCTTTCTCTCTCTCTCTCTCTCTCCTGCTAACTTTTGCGCACTATCCGCTGCACTGTCACTGCTTCCGTAGTCATTTGTGAACGATGTTCAACTAATTTTACAACAAGTTTTCAACTTTAACACACAGCCAGGGAGCCAGGGAGCCAGGGAGACAGGAGGGCTGTCGATAAGTCGGAAATGGGGGCTAAAATGGAACTGAGCAAAGTTATCTTCGGCCGGACTGCAGGGCGGAAATTTATTGTGTTTTCGCTTCTACGGCCAAGTGCACTTGGCAAAAACAAACTTCCAACTATGGGCAGCCGGGGCCGGGGGGTGGCAAACAAAATACAAAGCGCACAACTTTTGCTCCACTGGACACCAAAGCAGGCGATGCGCTGGATGGCAGCAGGGGTGGGGGGAAATGTTATTAGAGCGAAAAACTCAGCGATCGATGTGATCAAAAGGCTGACCATTGGGTGTGGAGTGTCCTATGTACATTCAAAACTGTGCACCGGGTGAGCAGTTTTCTGTCCGTCAGCTATCGATTTGTCTGCGACAGCGAGGCCCAATGTTTGGCCAATGTAATCAATCATTCAACGGACCCCAATGGTCCGTGGGTGGACCCTCCACTTTAAAGCTGTCAACTCAAATGCCAGCTCGAAGTCATAGTCGCACAGTGCCAAAAAGGCAAAGAAAGAAGGGAAAAAGGAAGTGCACTCTGGTGCATGGGTCCTCCACTTGATTGATGTCATCTTGTTGGCTGATTGCTGGGATGCCACAGCCCGGAATGTGTGAGGAAATGAGCCTCTCTGTTTCGATTGTAATTTGCGGCAGCTTCTGCTTGACTCTGTCTCTACTCTGCAGCTTTATTTCCATATTTGTTGACTCGCTCTCTCTCGCTCTCTCTCTCTCTCTCGCTCTCTCTCGTTTGCTTGTCCTAACTTTCTGCTCTTCTCTTTTGGTCGCTGATCCATGGTCCTAGCTCCTGGCATCATTGGACATGGCTACGCCCCCGCTGCGTATGCTGCACCCGCCTACGCCGCGCACCTGGGCGCCCCAGTCTTGAAGTGAGTAATGAGAAATGACGGAGATGTTATTAATAGACACAAGCCCACCCCCGCCGCACCAAGAGCCCCACCAGATGGACAAATATATATATATCTCTCTCTCTCTCTCTCTCTCTCTCTCTCTTTTTCTCCCTCAACAGAGCCGCCGTTGCCGCACCCGCCCTCGTACACACATCGGTCTCTGGCCACGGCATTCACTATGGCTACTAGAGGGAGCTTTCTCCGTGACCTGCTCCCAGTACCAGTACCAGTAAACCCGTCTTTGTCACCATAAGCTACAGCTCCTGCCACCTCCGCTCGGACATGCAAGCAGCCAAAGCCAGCTAATAATAATAATAATAATAATAATAGTAATAATAATGATGGCCAGAGCGTGTTGCTGCAGCTCTTGCACCCTTTCACTCCCGCCGGTGTTGCTGTTCGACTTAATTAAAACTCGATTTGCCAGCTGCAAAGAGAGACGTGGGCACCGTGACCGGAGCTGAACTGCGAACTGCGACTGTGACACAGTGCTGCCGAAAAGTACGCCACAATCCACGGACTCCCACTGGCACGCATTCTTTATTATTATTATCATTATTATTGTGTTGTTTTTAGCTTCAGGGCTCAAGCTCCACGGGGTAGCGGAAGGAACACCAACTCCCTACCCTGCCCTGCCCTGCCCTGCCCTCCCCTGTACTTTGTATGTGTTTTTTTTTTTTTATCGCGGTTGAACTTACGTTGTATTTAAACTTAATTTGTAAACTGAAACGAAATGCAAGTGGAAATGTTGGAAACAAGTAAATAAACTCATTGTTATTACTGACTCGCTTTCGCTCTCTGTCTCTGTCTCTGTCTCTGTCTTCTGTGTGTCCTGTCGTTGTGTGATATATGAAGTAGATTTAGCATACATCGCCCTCCATTGCTAGCGAGCTGTGCGGAGATTTATTTGCCACGCCCCAGTTGATCAGCGGATACTTTATGGCGCATAACACGACATCACTCTCTCTCTCTCTCTGCCCCCCACAGCCCTCGGCCATGCCACATATAAATCTTTAGCGGAGTGTCGAGCATCATATTCCAAAGTGCAAGCCCATTTACGTCACGCGCACATGGCCTAAAATAGATAGCCCAAACGTTTATTTTGGCATCACAGCAGAAGGCTGGTGGGGGAGCCGCCACTTCTATGGCTTGCAAAATGTCACTTGATGTGGAGCAGCCAGACAGTCGCAGGAGTAGCGCTAATAACTCTGGGGTTTATATTTATTGTTTTAATTGGTTTTATTGAGTGCCATGTGCCATGTCAACCTCTTGTCATTTGAAACAGACCCTCGCAGCTGCCTCGCCTCACTATTTGTATATCTGCGAATGAATGTGACATAAACATAAGCGATGGGCACAAGAAAGATAAAAGGCAAACAGCAAATCTCACCAGCACCACAGAATCGCGCACAATTGAATTTTTGCTCATTTAGATAGAGTTGCATGTTGCTGCCACAGATGGGATTGTATTCCGGTGTGGTGGGGCAGCTGCCGAAGCAGTCCACAAACTGTTGTGTCCGCGGCGGTTGAGTGACAAACGGTGTAATGGCATTCGATATTCTCACATTGTTGACCAGCGCCCAGCCAGCACCAGGGCTAGGGACAGAGCCGCTTGTACCCAACGGACTTTGCGTGGTTGTTGTTTGAAAGATCAGTTGTCCAGTGGCCGAGCTGGTGGCACAGACCAGCAGTGCAATTGTTAGCCAAAATGTCAGCATCTTGACAGGCGCGTTAGCTTTCAACTCGTCCGCTGCTCCAGCCATACTAAAAGTCTACTTTTCTCCACACAACAACAAGCCGCAGCTTCGAAATACTTCGAATGACAACAAGACGGGTTTGCCGGCTTGCTGTTTTGCTGTCTGTCATCATCTCTGGTAATTCCAGTTCTATGAGACATCTATGGGGCGATAAACAATACCTAAACTAGCCTGCTAAAGCCCAAGGTAGCTCCGCTCCACCAGAAATCCCCAATCCCCCTCCCCATCCCCCTCCCTTAGCTAGAGTGAGTGAAAATCCCATCAGCAGCTGTGTGTGTGATTCACTTGTTACTAGAATAAATGTTTAAGAACTCTTCCCAAAGCAATCGCTTTCTTGGCATCTGCATTTGAGTCTCTTGTTTCGGCTTTAAAATACGCTTCAAGTTTTGTTTCATATTCATCCTGAATATATATTTATTGTGTGGCATTGTGTTCTAGTTTTTCGCCACTAGTGTCAGCGGATGTGCGCGAGGCAGTTGCAAGCTTGTTGCTGCCATAAGCCGAGGGGTAAACAGTCGTGTCTAGGGGCAGGCAATGTCCACTCCTGGCCGTGCCTAAGCCCCGCTTCCCATCGTCCAGCGTCCATTGTCGACTGTCCACTGTCCCATGTGCCTGCTCCTCTCGTTGTGGGGGGTGGAAATGAACAGGATGCGGTCCTAGACATACATCCGGCCAGCACCCACCCACACACATTCAGAGACTCATGTCTGGAGGGGCTACACGTGGAGCCATGTATTTTGTAAACGTATTCGGCTAGTTTTCCCTTTTCCTTTTCCTTTTCCTTTTACATTTTCTTTTACTTTTTCGCTACTCGTTTTGGGCATTTTCCAATGCAAATAAGTTGCGGGGGAAAAGGGACGCACATCAGTGCGTGGCTCGGGATGCGATCCCAATTAACTTTCATTCCACAAAAAGGGATTGGCAAACAAACTCTAATAGAATTACTCTTAAATGTTAGCCCACATATTTTGTGGCACTTTTTCTGTGCCTTGCCTTGGCTCTGGTCCTTGCCCTATGGGCTCGCTCCTTCATTGCAGCTTTCCCCCTTGATGTTGTTCGAGTGGCTTAGCCAGCGGGTTCCCACTCCGCCGCGTCCCTGCTCCTCCACGACTTCTAATGCAATTGTTGTGTTCCAGCAGGTTTGTCTTGGCTCTCGCTTCGATTTGCTGTTTACACTGGCAGCTCCATTGGTGACTCCTCGAGGACACGTTGCCGCCCAGCAACTAGAACCACGCTTGGCCCCACACAAAGACTTTGCTCCAGCTGCTAGACATGCGACAAACACTCGAATGATGCAATGCAAAGCCCCTCCAAGCCACTTCAGCCCTTAGCCCTTGATGCCCTTTCCACACCACAAAACAGATACAAAATTGAGCTCCACATCGCTGTCGAATTTGGAGCCATTTGTTGTTAGATCCAGCTGCAAATGGCAACATTCGTGACTGCCGCATTCCCATGCGCTGCCCGGAGAGATTCAATCACAGATTTTGCATCATTCGCAGCAAAATTATACGATTTAATGCCTGAATTGTTTTGTACTTTGAATTTGGACAACAAAACGAAACCCTAAATAGATCGAGAAAAAAAAAACGGCTTAAGATTAAGGCTGGATTCCCTTCCCAGCTTGCGGCTGACTAGAAATTGTAGTTGAGATTTCCACTGCTGAAGCTCACGTGGGAGACGTCCGAGGAGGGCTGGAAGGATGGGGAGCCGAGCACCGAGGACATGGGCACGGCCATGCCGTAGCTCTGGGTGGTTGTGGGTGCCAACTGGCTGTTGGCAAACTGCTGCTGCTGCTCACGGAGCACGTCCTGCTGCTGCTGCTGCAGGAAGCCCATGTGCTGCTGCGTGGAGTAGAAGTCTCCGCTCGAGGTGGCAGCCTGAACACCGCGGCCACCCGCTCCTCCTGCGTAGATGTCGCCCGCTGAGTATGCGCCACGAACGGCCTGTCCTTGGGCTGCTCCCTGCTGTTGCTGCTGCTGCTGCTGCAACCCGTTGGATCCGAACTGCGGGCGACGGTAGACAAAACGTGAACCAGCAGCATCGGGCTGGGTCTGAGCTTGAGCCTGTCCGTTCGACATGTCCGGATAGTACTGGTAGAGCTTCTGCAGCAGCTGCTGTTGCTGCTGCTCAAACTCCGCTCGCTGCCGCTGGTAGTCGAGGAAGGCGGCCTGCATTTGGTCCGCATATGTGGGCACTTGGGCCCGTTGTCCTGCCACGCCCGACTGTGCCAGAAGTTGCTGCTGCTGCTGCTGCTGCTGCTGCAGCTGCTGCTGTTCGTGCTGCTGCTGCAGCTGCTGCTGCTGGAGTGTGGACACGGCGGATGGCTTGGGCTTGCCACCACGAGCTGCTGCCTGCTGCTGATACACAGCAAAAGGACTGGCAGTTTGCTGCGAAAGAAACAAATGGAAAATAAATTAAATAAAATAAATTAAACAGTTTATTGCTCAGCAGTCCTACCAGTCTGCTGTCTTTGCTTTGGGTGCGCCCTTTGTTTGATCTCATTTTGGTTGATGGAAAAAACTGAACTAAAATGTTTAACTTCGAAATGGAAACTAATATTTTGTACAACCGATACGCACTGTCGAAGCGAACGAATGAAACTGAATTCGAAACTGGATTCGGGTGTCAGCTGGTGCCGCACAGACAGAAGCCGGAAGGAAGCCTACTGAGATCTCATATCGAATCCCAATCGAACTTGTCACGCGATGTTTGGCAGCCTTAAAAGGCAGCCAGTGTGCCCCCGACATGTCACAGTGAATGAGATGAGGTCTCAGGTGCTTGGACTGCTGCTCGCCGGACTGGGCCTGGGCCTGGGCCTGGCTCAGAATCCCTTTGAGAATCTGGCACTGGGCGCCATGAGTGTGGCCGCCAACATAGCCGAGGCCGTGCAGGGTGGCGCGGCCATCAATCGTGACCTGAACATCGACAATCCCCTGATGTCGGTGCACTCGAAGACGGCGGCGGGCTTTGGCGATGCCATGCGGCCGCCTTCGGGCGATGACTCCTCCGAGTCTGAGTCCAAGTCCGGGGAGCGAGGGAGACGCAGGCGAAGACGCAGCTTGCAGCGATCGAGGCGCATCAAGCGTGCCCCCTGCCACTGGATGATGTCCATGGCCACCGCGACACCCGGCGAGGATGAGGTGGAGGCGCGCAAGAAACGCGCACGCAAGCGTGCCGCCAACAATGCCTCTCGATCCCGCATCAACGCCAAGAAGAGCGGCAAGAAGAAGCTTCTACGAAGGCGACGCCAGCAGCCGATGGAGGGACAACAGCAGCAGCAGCAGGCAGCGGGCACTCTTGGCGATCGCATCAAGGGCATGTGGCTGTCCTTTGTGGACAGCGTCGCGGATGTGGTGCAGCAGGTGCGCCAGAAGATATCAAGTGCAGCAGGAGCAGCAGCAGGCGGCGCCAATTAGGTGGCATGCACCAGCACCAGTTGTTTTTTTTTTCTCTTGCATATAAGTCGAATAAAATGAAATGGAAATCCGAACTGAATGGGGAGTCTCCACTTATCAGATGCTCGCAAACATTTCCGCCTCCAGCTACAAATTTGGAAATCTGCACGCGGGCTTGAGCGGCAGCTACAAAAGCTGACACTCGGCCGGCACAGTGCAACAGTTGCCCGCAATGACTGCCGCACTCATCTACGCTGTGACTCTGATATTTGCTCTGACTGTGATGGCTGCGGGGGAGGAGCTGGAACTGGACTACTCCAACGAGTACGACGATGTGCGTCCCCATTTGGTGTATCCGGATGAGCCGCGGCTGGACAAGCAAATCAGCAATGCAGCTCGGGACTTGGTGCAGAGCATCGGCCAAGCCTGGCAGTCCATGGTCGAGGAGCTAAGGAAACTGTTCCAGACCCCTGACGAGCATGAGGCATTCTCCGGCTAAAATCGAGTTGTGTTTTCGCTTAATAAATTGAATGTTTCGCTGCCGTTTCAATTAGTGGTCCGTAAATGGAAATGGAATTATTTTGCACATGCAAGCGCAAACATGAACTGCCACGATTGGTATCTGTGGAACGGCAAACAGGAAATTTCGACCAATTAAAAGATAGCCCCGACCCCAGCCCGGGCAGCTAATTCGCTTAAATAAGCCGCTGGCTGTTGGGCAGCTTCCGTATTCATCCATCACCATGATGACACTTCGCTTGACGCTGTGCCTGCTGCGACTGCTGCTGCTGCTGGTGGCCAGCACCCAGGCTCGACCACAGGTGAGATCTACGCTGATCCATTCGCGGAGAACTAACAACTTGCTTGCCACAGGATCTGGGCACTGGCATGGCACTGGCCATGGGCCAGCTGCAGCAGCTAATGGACTCGGGCGGCGGTGTGCGCCAGGAGCAGAGCATTGAGATTCTCGGCCAGAAGCTGGAGGGAGCCATGCAGCTGGGCATTGGCCAGGCCGTCAATCTGCCCGTGCCTGACTAGCTTGCACAGCAACTAAGTTCCTTGTGTAAATTGCTTTCAAAATAAACTTGTATCTACTGCTTACCGTCGGCTCCTGCTGCACCTCCTGCTGTGGCTGTGCCTGTGGCTGCTCCTGCTTGGCTGCTCCATAGTAACGAGTGAAGGTCTGCTGCAGCTGCGGGGTCTTTACGCTGTAGGAGTTTGTGTTGGCATCCGTGTGGAAGGAGACCTGCGCCTGGGCAGCCAGCACCAGGCACGCCAGCATCAAGGCCACTGCGAACATATCCACGAATCGAATGATTTACGAACGGAGCGCTAATTGTATTTGGTTGCTCCGCTAATGCCACGTGCGGCTCGTTATCGGCTGCTTATCAGAGTACGCGACACGGCAACAAAGCGACGGTGAATGTGCAACGGCAGTCGCCTGTCCCAGCATTATATACGGTGGCCCAGCGGCCCATCGGATTATTCAATTTTTCAATTTTTCAATGCCTTCCGCGCGACTCTCACTGTCGGCCACTCGGCCACTTGTTATGCAGAAGCCAGGCCCTAAATCGAGAGTGTGCGTTTGCAGTGCGTGTTGTCAGCAGCGAGCAGCGACCCAAGCATCATCCATGTATCGATTTGGAGATTTAGAACTGGAGCCAGCCAATGGACAAGAGGCCATGAGCTCATGGCCAGATCCATGGCTCTAATACTTTAAAGCTCCATAATTGCATTTTTATTTTAATTTTCGTTTGTTTCTTCTGCTGATAACTTTCTTTAAACTTTTTGTTTGTTTGCTTCGTGCTCGGAATGTGAAATGTGCCAGCAATGTGCCAGCAATGTGCCAGCAATGACAGAGCGCGAGAGAGAGAGAGAGTCATGCCGATTTCGATGGCAATTCCAATTCAAATTGAATACGCTCTTTGGCACTTACATAACAATCCCCCGCTGGCAGCAGAAACTAAACATAAACACGGGCATAAAATGTTGTTTAAGCGAACGTGCACTGAATATCCAGAGAGGAATAAGACAGTCTCTCTCTCTCTCTCTCTGTCTCTCTTGCTTGGCAGAGAGTTGCGAAAATTGCCTCCATTGCAATGCATTTTCAGCCTCAAGTCCCAACAGAGAGGGCAATGGGCAATGGGCAATGGGCACATCGATTATGAAAGCAGTCAGGGAACGGATAATGTTCACTTAAGCCGGAGTTACGGCTACCTGGAGCGCTGGCAAACGGTGCGTATACGTGATCGTCATAAATTTATTTACGCGCTTTTCATGATGCCTCGGTTGGCCATCCTCGGCATGTACTCGGACGTAATTGAAAGCGCATTTCACACGCGTCTCTCATGCGAATGCGACCCGTGGCCAGCACACGTCTGGCAGCGGTTTGGGCTAGATACTGGCCCGGAGGGGAGAGCGCCACAAGCCATAACTTCTCCTTGTGCCTGTGCCTATGCCTGTTGCCCCTGTTTCCCGGTAATGACGGGTCATTAAAGGGGACTTTTCCGAATGGAATGCTTGTCACAGTTTACGATTACCAGACGTAAGCCAGCAACGGCGCAAATTATGCAAAGTGCCTGGAGACAAGAAGCTAAAACTCGAGTTAAAACTGGAGCTGGAAATTGAGAATTTGTAAGCAGCAGGGCGGCAGGGTTTGGGAGGGAGGATGGAGGATGGAGGATGGAGGGCTAAATCTAGGCAGCTGCTAAATACGGCACTTAATCATTTTAGTGGGTCAGGGGGTCACGGGTGGGACTGAAATGGAGAAGCCGAAAGCGGAGCCCCTGGGTCGAAGTGACCTACCCGTGAGGCTACCAACAAACAGAAAGACACAGAGAGAACGAGCGAGAGTGCTTTTGGGGCTGTTAAACCCCAGGTTGAACTTTTGAACTCGCGCACTGACCCCATTCCAGGGTGCCCCCCTGGCGGCACCTTCTCTGTCCCTTGGCGGCGACGTTGCTGCTGCGTTTATGGTTCGGCTGCGAATTATTTTGTGGGCCCATTTTGTTATTTTTGCTTTTTCCTTTTTTTTTGCGGCGCTGGCTTCTGCATTGGCACAGATTATATTGGGCGGACCCCCCGCCAAAGGCAAACAGCAAGAGCCAAAAGGGATTTTATTGCACATGGCAGAGCCCCAAAGCGTGTTGGTACAGTAAGCCCCAATGTTGATGCACCCTCCCACCCCCCACCGCATTGTCGTAGATGGCTAAATAGGCAGACATTTTTGTTGGTTGCTTTTGTGTGCTTTTAACTCACATCAAATTCGCGTTTTTATTAGTTTTGCTCACTCCAAACCTCCGACACACTCGACACGCGCCACACAGCGCCACAAGTAGCGACAAAAAAATCAACTTATTCGATATGCAAACACACACAGACACACATAGAGACACACATAGAGACACATAAATAGATGTGTAAACCGTACATCAAATATCTAACTATAAATTACATTTGTGCTCTGCCAACTGGTGTCCAATCCCTTGATAATTGTATGCTTAAGCTACAAAAAAACGTCGCAAGGTCCACCCAGCCAGCGGATGCAGAAAACAACAATCAGGAGCTGGCAGGAGCTGGACTCCCTTCCTGGCGCTGCACTTGCGATTGATATATATATACTGGAACTTACAGCAAGTAACTATTTCGTGTACATTTTGCATTTGATTTAACGTTCAATAGATTTAACTTTGCATATAATATTTCAAGTGTGTGTCCTTTAGCTATCAATTGTGTAAGTCCCTTTATTTAAGTTTTATTTTGCTTGCAAACTTTTG